ACTGGGGATGGAACTCAGGACCTTGTGCTTACGAGGCAGGCATGGTGCCACTGAACTATATCCATGGCTAAAATATCTATGACGCTTTAGACAGTATAGCGTAGTGAAGTGGCCAGACTGTATCTGAGCTTTGAATTGAAAATATTGTGAGTATATTCCATTTTAGAGCCAGTGTTACTTGGGGAGGTTTCCTTATATCTTTCTGTTTCACTTTTCTCATCTAAATTCATAAAGTTACTAAGAAGATTAACTGAGATCGTATATAAAAAATTATCGGTACTTGATATGTTCTCATTTCTTTTTCTCTCAGTAAATAGAGGTAAAGAGAATACCTCATAGCTCAGCATAGTGGTGCACATGTATAATCTTAGGTACTTGGGAGACTGACAGGAGAATCAAGAGTTTTAGGCCACCTTGAGCAATTATAAAATTAAAACTTTTTTTTTCTTGGTACCAGGGATCAAACTCAGGACCTTGTGCTTGCAAAGCAGGTGGTGGAACCACTGAGCTAAATCCCCAGCCCTAAGATTAAAACTTTTTTAAAAAGGGCTGAGGATGTTGCTTAAAAGTAGAGCAGCACCCTTAGGTTCGAAACCTACCTAGCACCACAACAAACAAATAACCCTCATAAAAGTCCATCTTGAAAATTCAGAAATCATGAACTTTTTTCCTTTGTCAATCATATCTCTAACAGAGACACCATATCAGTATACATATACTTGTATATACATTTTTATTCTATTTATTTATTTGTTTTTGTTTTTTTGAGACAGGGTCTCACTATGTAGTTGAAACTGATCTGGAATTCACTGTGTAGCCCAGGCTGGGCTTGAACTCACAGTGATCCTCCTGTCTTAGCCTCCCAAGTGCTGGGATTACAGGTATGCGCCACCACACCCAGCTTTTTCTTTTCTTTTCTTTTCTTTTTTTTGATACCAGGACCGAACTTGGGCCCTTGCGCTAGCAAGGCAGGCACCGGAACCACTGAGCCTTATCCCCAGCCTACATTTTTAAAAAATGAAACTGAAAGCCTCTTGTGCTACCAGTTAATTTCCTGTTTCTTAACCAATTTCTTCCGATATTGGAAAAATTTCCCTTTTCTTATTATCTGAGTTGTATGCTTTATAGGTATGTTTCTTCACTAGCTCTTCCAGGAAACCAAAACGCAGTTTTTGTTTTTTGTTTTTTTTGGTTTTGGCTGTATTGAGGATTGAACCTAGGATCTTGTGCATGTTAGGCAAGCTCTCTGCCACTGAGCTATATCCCCAATACTTGTACTGTTTCAATTTTAAGACAAAGCTTGCTATATTGCCCAGGCTGGGCTTGAACTTGCAATCCTCCTGCCTCAGCTTCCTGTGTAGCTGGGGTTATGGGTATACATCATTGAGCCTGAAGCCCAGTTTTTTTTTTTTGGTACTGGGGATCAAACTCCAGCCCTTGCAATTTTGAGGCAGGTGGTGGAACCACTGAGCCCAATCCCTGGCCCCTGAAGCCCAGTTTTGATTCAAAACAGTAAATAGTGCCTGATTTTCACTGTACTCATCTCAGTGTAGCAAACTGTCCTTTAAGTTTTGTTTCGTTTTGTTTTTGGTTTTTTGAGACAGGGTCTCACTGTATAGTTGAGACTGATCTGGAACTCACTATGTAGCCCAGGCTGGTCTCGAACTCACAGCGATCCTCCTGCCTCAGTCTCCCAAGTGGTTGGATTACAGGCATGCACCACCATGCTCGGCTTGTCTTTTAAGTTTTAATATTGAGGTGATGGAATTGTACTGTGAGTGCTTATCTCGAGTTCCTCGTATTCTCAGTCCCTTCTATAAAACATGGAGAAAATATGATGGATTTATCTGAGCCAGTGTTGTTCACCTCCAGACAAACGGTTTAAGCTTTCAGCAGTTGTCAGAATACACTAGTTCATGCTCTTACTTTTGACACTTCCTCTCACCTCTTAGGAAGAAAGAAGAATTTAATAACCAGAAAAACACCAACAGAAAAATAATAAGGAGTAGGTGTTAGTCAGCTTCCATTTCTATAATCAGTACTTGTGATGATTGACTTGCCGAGAGAAAGGTTTATTTTGGTTCACAGTTTGGGAGGTTTGGTCCATAGCTGTTTGGCCCTGATGCTTCGAGGCCTGTGGTAAGGCAGCACATCATGGCAGCAGGTGTGGCAGAGTGGAATTACTCACCTCAAGACAGGCAGCGAGAGGAAGCAGAAGAGTGGGCTTCCACTTTCCCCCTCCAGGGAAAGTGTGTGTGATCAGGTCTCCAGAGAGGCCCTGCCTCCAATGTTTCTGCCACCTCCCCATAGTGCCAGACTGGGGACCAAACCTTGAATACATGAGCCTTGGGAGACACACTGGAGGCAGAACGGAGACCTAATTCCCCAAGTAGTCGTGAGTTTTCTTTACTCATACCCCTTCTCTTGGGTCTGTCTGTCCCTTGTTTACATAAATGTGTGAAAGTACTGCTGTACAATGACAGAGTTCCTTGACCTGATGGATGCAGATCAGATAATAGTAGTAATTACTGTTACTATTGGTAGCATTTACTCTGTGCCAGGTACTATTCTAAGCACTTGTTTTAACTAATTTTTAACTAATTTGATTCTTGGGGTAGCCCAGTGAAGTAGGAGTCGCTCTGCATTTAAGAAGTTAGGAAACTGAAGCAGTGTGAAGTTATATTACTTACCTACTATCTCATACTTAGTAAATGCCAAAGCTAGGATTTAAATCCATGCAGTCTGACTCTAGAGTTTATGCTTGTAACCATTGGTCAAGATAATGAATCTCATTCTAGCTTGTGCTGAAATGTATGGTTTCTGTTACTACATCCTTAATGCTTTCATTTCTGTTGTTGTTGTTGTTTGTTTTTTTGTTTTGGTTTTAGTTTTTTCGAGACAGAGTTTCGTTATGTGTTCAGGCTGGCCTTGAAATCACTTTGTGGTCAGGGATTTAGCTCAGTAGTTCCACTGCGTGCCTCGCAAATGCAAGGTCTCGAGTTCAATCCCTAGTACCAAAAAAAAAAAGAAAAAAGGAAATCACTATGTGGCTGGCATCAAAGTCATGTCTGTCTTCCTGCCTCACTCAGTCTCCCAAGTGCTAGGATTACAGGTGTGCATCACAATGCCTGGCTTTTCTCTCTTTCTCTCCCTCTCTCCCTCCCTCATTCCCTCCCTCCTTCCCTCTCTCTTTCTTTCTCCCCAATCCCTAGTACCAAAAAAAAAAAGAAAAAAGGAAATCACTATGTGGCTGGCATCAAAGTCATGTCTGTCTTCCTGCCTCACTCAGTCTCCCAAGTGCTAGGATTACAGGTGTGCATCACAATGCCTGGCTTTTCTCTCTTTCTCTCCCTCTCTCCCTCCCTCATTCCCTCCCTCCTTCCCTCTCTCTTTCTTTCTCCCTCGTTTCAGCTGGGAGTTAAACCTAGAGTCTTTTGTATGCTATACACTGTCAATTATCGAACCCATCTTTTCCTTTTTGTCTGACTTTTTTTGGTGGTGTTGGGTGCTGGGGATTGAACCTCACAGCTTCTCCACT